ATCTATAGCAGTATGTTCCCCTTGGCGATGATCCATTCCGGAAGGCTTCTGCCTGGTGAGCGACGGCGAGGCTCTGAGAGACATCAGGAGCAGTACAGCTGCACTGCATGCTGCCAAGGATGTCGTATCGAGCTATCCTCCCCTCACAGACACGTCCAAGGCAGACACGTACGTGCTGGCTTACAGCCCTGAGGACGCCAAGTCTTTCAGAGACAGGGCGATGGAGGCGGTGAAGTATTTCCTTGGAGAGCAGCGAGCGGATAATCCGCGGTGGAGGGTGTGCTCGATCGTGCTGATGTACTTCCTGCGATATGAAGACACGCGGTTCTCTACCCGGAGGCTGCTGGCATACTTCTATTCGTGTATGGACGAATTTATAGCAGGCCCCGAGCTGGTCAAGGACGTGCTGGAGTACATTGGACGGAACAAGATCTCGTCGCCGTCGTTCGAAGCATGGAAGGCAAGTCAGACAGGTCGCAGCATATCGGACGACAAGCTGCTCATTGCGATCTTGGACTACACGATCAGCAAGGAGATGCGCAGAGTGATATCAGACCCAGATGAGCGAGATGAAGCATTGGAGATATGGAGCAAGGTGATCGATGGGTGCTTGGACCCGTCGGTGTCATGGGAGGAGGGGATGGATAAGATCGAAGAGCATCTTCGAAATAAGACTGACCTTCAAGGTGGTCAGGAGGTCTTGTTCTACTTGTATGTGCTGGAGAGATCCGTGGAGGTCGATTGAGATCGGGACTTGATGCCTTTTGACTCGAAGGGTTTGAATATTTGTTCTAATATTCTAGTGTAATTGACTCTCACACTTACCGAAGTGTCAAACTTGAGCTAATACATCTCGAGCTGACGTCTCAGGTAGATAGAATATCATCATTCACTACCTACCAAGAGAAGCTACAATTGTCTATGACCAGCTCGGCTCCTCACATCGGCTCCTGTCTCTACTATCAAGACTCAGCTTGTCTCCTTCTCCTGCCATGACATCTCCTTCTCGTCCCCGACAGTCGTTCTCTCTCCGCTTCAACTCACTCCTCATCTTGCTATCTTCATCTTGCTATCTTTCCGCATGCATCGGTATCCCCTCATGCAGTCCAGTAGTCTTGTTTCAGCTTGTGCGCCCATTCCAGCATCTGCAACCCTCGTCACTCTCATCCTTTCCTCGCGACCCAGCTGACCTGAGGTACAAACGCTGTCTGACTTTGATAGATCAGAGCCTGCGCCCCCGTC